CTTGATATGTAGTCGAGGGTGACCTTGAACTCTTGATCTTCCTGCTTCCAGCTCATGAATACTTTAGCTGTAGACATGTGTTCCTTATGCCAGGTTTTATGCAGTGCTAGGAACTGAATCCAGTGTTTTATGCATGCTGGGTAAATACTTGACTAATTGAACAAATCTCATCCTTTAAATAAATTTTTCAAAAGAGAAATTTCAATTTTAATTGTGAGTTTGAGAGATATATAATCTAGCAAGAAAGCAATCTTTAATAGTATAGGAAATAGCACAATTATTGTGTTATAAATTTGCTTGACATATCCTCACTTATGATTAAGTTTTTTAAAATTTTAAAACATGCAACTACAATAAATATTAATCACATGACAAGAGACAGATCACATGTCTGTATACATGATCTCCCTTTCTTTTTCTATAATCACCAGGATTCAATCAAGACAGTTCCATTTCCAGTGTCTCTATCTACTACTAATCATTTCCAAAGGCCACATCTGTAAACATCTTACCCTACTGTTTCAGTCTTCTTAATATTTCATAATAGGAGGTGAATTTTCAACAGGAAGTCACGAGGGACACTTACAGCATATCCAAACTAAAGCAGGAAATGTACATTAAATATACATTAAATGAATATTAAAGAAAATTAAGATTGTTAGTTGAAAAAAATCAGAAAAAAAAAAAAAAACGCCATAATATCCTGGGGAAGAAATAGAAAGAAATTTTCAAAACTCCTCAAAGTGTTCACACTGCCAAATACTGCAGAGACAGATCTGAGGGTGAGAGCTAAAACTGGTAATTTTGAAAAGGAGTGGGTCCATGTTAAGCAAAGATCACTGTTTTAGAAAGATGAAGAAATATAATAAATGCAAAGCATGTTTTATTTTTTCAAGCCCATAAGAATAGTTTCATCTCTGAATTTATACATCCCATAGAATCATAATTTAATTAGAGATTCATGTGTGGCCTATTTGTTTTATTTTAAGATCAGAGACATATATGTCTCCCTCATATCACTTTATATCATAATCTCTTCTCTACTATTTGATGTAGTTTCTCTTTGAATTATGCAGAAAGTTTTGTCCTCTTATTTGTCCCATTTTTACACACTTATTCACATTTCTGCATGTATCTCTGAACATTTTCATTTTGTATTCTTATCTACAGACAATTCCATCTTGGTTTCCCAAAGAACAACCTTCTCTGTAATTATTACTTTCTGCCTTGTGCTAAAGTTAGTGCAGTACTTATTTGGACTTCTGGATGGAAAGTTTTGTAGATGCATCTTTGAAGATAAGGGTAGTTTCCAGTATCTCTCAATACTGTGTGCATTTAATGTGATACTTTGCATGCAGAGCATTTAACAGATGCCTCAGGATGAGTCATGTCTCACTCCAATTCTTTTGCTATCTTCATAAATATCACCCAATGGTCTTAACTGAAAGCACCAAGAAAAGTAAGACAAAACAACACTCTTACTCACATCAATTTCCCTCTGAAGTAAGGGAGTCTTGCTAGGCAGAAGAGCACTTATTTAAATACCCAAGCATTGAAATGATAACAATTAGCTGCAGAGTGGTACCTCCTGTAGCTATGGAAGTAGCTGCCACCTCCAAATCCCAGCCACACTTGGGAACCTGCACTTTATAGACAAGTGTCACACTGTGTTTGCTGATTAATACAGTGCAACCACTGTTTGGGGGATGAAACTTCACCTTAGGAAAATGTATAACTTACATTTGCACAGCTTGTCTCGGGGGAAGCAGCAATGATAATTTTAGTTTCTTTGATTCTAAAACTGCCCCTTTAAACTAATATTCTGAAACACCTTCTTTTCATTCATCCTTTCATTAAAAAATATTCTTGTTTATTCTGTGAGAATTTCATATATGTGTATAATTTTTTGGATCATATTCACCTCCATTGCTTCCTTCAACTCCTTCTTGATAACTCCCACATTCCAGTCCAAACTTCATGTTTTAATAATTTACTGAGTCCAACTAATCCCCAATGGGCAAATGGGGATAGGTTATTCACAGGATCCAGGTCAACCTACCAAGCCACCTCCCCTAGTAGCTGTAAACTGTCAATAGTTCCACAGATGGGAGTGGCAGTTACATGCCCTTTCTCCACCCATCTGGAATGTTGACTGGCTTGATCATGTATTAGCCATATGCAGGTAACTACAGCTGCTATGAGTTCTTGGGTGTAATGGTCCTATTATGCCCAGCAGACACTGTCCTTCATAAGTGCTCCCCAAACTCTGACTCTTACCAGTTTTCATGCCCTCTTTTACATATTCCCTGAGCCTTGCAGGGAGAGATTTGATATAGATGTCCCATTCATGGTTGAGCACCCCAAAGACACTTGTTCTTTTCCCTCTGTCCAGTTGTTAACCTTTGTATTAACTGCTGCCCACTGCACAGAGACACTTTTATGATAATTGAGAGGTGCACTAACCTATGGATATACAGATATGCATTTGGAAGGCAGTTTGATTCTATTTCCTTTTTGCAAAGTAGCAACACAATAGTGAGTTCACTCCTGCGGCTTATGAGCTCTGAAGCTACAGGTTCTTGGCCAGATTGATAGTACAAAGCTCAAATTTTCTCCAATGGAGTAGGGGCCTAAGTCCTATTAGAAATCAGTTGGTTATCATTATAACATTCATGCCACTATTGTATTTTGCTAGGGTGGTCACTATTATATTTCACAGGGTTCATAAAAAGTCACCATTTCCTTATTTTCTTTTAATCTTTGGTTTCTCTATTGTTAGCTCAGTGTCTCTTTACTGAAGATATAGTCAGAGTCATAACATTTAAATTACCATTGGATTTTGTACTCTTAAAAATAAATTTGTTATTATTTTTACTTAAAATATTTTGTAGCGAACATGTTTTCAAAGTATGCCCTAAAGATTCATGACTTCCTATTGAAAATTCACCTCCTATTATGAAATATTAAGAAGACTGAAACACTAGGGTAAGATGTTTACAGATGTGGCCTTTGGAAATGATTAGTAGTTGATAGAGACACTGGAAATGGAACTGTCTTGATTGAATCCTGGTGATTATAGAAAAAGAAAGGGAGATCATGTATACAGACATATGATCTGTCTTTTGCCATGTGATTCCTTGAACTTCCTTGTGACTCTGATAGCAAAAAAGCAGGGTATCTTCATAGTACCAGATATTACTCCTAAACTTTAAATTCCCAGAATTGTGAGTCCAAATAAGCCATTTCTTTAAGTGTAATAGGTGTTTTACAGTTTAAAAAACTGCTGCTGAATTGGTATAGATGATCACATCCTGCTTCTCTTATTTTATTCACTTTCCCAGTGTTTGCTGAAAGCAGGTAAAGGCTCACTAATACAACAGTCCTAATTCTCAATAAGTTTCACTTCACCCCTGATGCAAAAGCCTGTAGTAATTTCTAAAGTAAAATGAATATTTGCTTCTTTCCTACCACTCCTTATGACAGCCCTTCCTGTGCTCTGTAAATCTAGGTCCATGGCTGTCTGGGCTTTAGCTTCTACAGCTCATGGATTCCTTTGGATCCATACTTTGCCAAGCCAGTATCTTCCTAGAGTGTTATCTAGTCAGGTAATTAATCTCAGAAATTAATATCTGGTATAGTAGAAGAAACACTCCACCTTTCTGGAATTCTGTCTTGCCTCTGTGGATTCTGAGCCCCAAAGTTTTGCTGGGCTAGTAACTGAGTCTCTCTCTGCTTTAGTGCTGAATGAACATCATTTCCTCTTTCTCAATGGCTAATCCTCTTCCTAAGTCTGTTGTGTCAGCCACTATACAATGTATGTGGAATCCATACTAAAGTTGTCCTACCTTCAAATGGTTAGAAAGACTGTAAAACCGCCAATAGGAACAATAGGAAGAGCCATAAGAAGCCAAACAAAAGATCTAGATCACATGACTCGCTTACTTGTGAACCATTGCTTGCATATTCATGCTCTAAGACTGTAAGTTCCTCATAGCAATCATGTCATCTTTTTGTCATTATATCTTGCAAAATTATGAGTCTAAGTAATAGAGATGATCCATATTTACCGAGTTAGTAAATGAATGATGCTTAAAGGTGGAATGGCGGGCCTGCAGTAGACTTGGTGGGCAGATATCTACAGTCTGTCCTCAGAGGAATCCTCTTGAACTGTTCCCAGAGAGATCCTGGAGTTCCAGAGTACAGAGTATGACAAGAGTCATCCTCATTCCAACCCTTGAAAGTGACTGCCTGACATACACTGGCCGTGTCTCACTCCTAGGAAGATCCAGGGCCTAGCATAAAAGGGCTCCTGTGCCAGGCTCACCAGTCCTTCACCTTACCAGTGTCAGTTCTGACTCTTTCTGCTGAAGCGGTGAGTGCTTAACAAGAAAGGCTGGGGAGGGAAGGAGGAAGACAGAAGAAGGCAGGGAACTAGCAAGATGCCCTCCCAGCCCGGCCAGAGACTAGGGTGAAGGGTTCTCTAGTCTAATCTTGACCTGGGCCTGTGACTTCTCCTGACCTCTCTTATTCTGGTTGATACCTGGAGTGGCAAGTACTGGGGCCTGGGCCAGTTTCAGTTTGGGACAGGAAAGTAAGCAGGAAAAATGGCAATGGTAGAATGCAACAAACCAGGAGAGTTCTGAGAGTTGGTGTCAGGGTCTTTACCGTCTTTCCCTCTAATCCTCTTCTAGGAAGTGTTCCTGGAGAGGACAGGTTATCACTGAATGTGTAAGAAAGATAAGTCCATCACAGAGAGACTCCTGAGTGCCAAGGAGCTCTGTCTCAGAACCTAGGGATCTTATATAGAATATGTATTGAGGACTGTGTCAGAAGATGGTCAGGACATTCAGTGGTGGAAAAGGACCGTGACAGAGCTTATGCTGTACCCAATTTCACCTCTTATCAGTTCCCACTTAGAGTTATAGGCCTGTTCATGGAATAGCTGGTCTTGGAATCGGCATCTAACAGAAGAGGATGGATACATCTGCTTGACACCTGTGCTGATGGCTTTTGTATTTCCTTAGGTTTACAGAAGTCCTCTCAAAAATGTCCTGCCAGCAAAACCAGCAGCAGTGCCAGCCCCCTCCCAAGTGTGCTCCCAAGTGCCCTCCCAAGTGCCAGGCCCCAAAGTGTCCCCCTAAGTGCCCCCCTAAGTGTCCCCCTGTGTCTTCCTGCTGTAGCCTGGGGTCTGGTGGCTGTGGCTCCAGCTCTGGTGGCTGCTGTGGCTCCAGCTCTGGAGGCTGCTGCAGCTCTGGGGGTGGTGGCTGCTGCCTGAGCCACCACAGACCCCGCAGATCTCTTCGTCGTCATCGTCACAGCTCTGGATGCTGTAGCAGTGGTGGCAGCAGTGGCTGCTGTGGCAGCAGCGGGGGCAGCAGTGGCTGCTGTGGCAGCAGTGGTGGCAGCAGTGGCTGCTGTGGTGGCAGCAGTGGTGGCAGCAGCTGTGGCGGTAGCCAACAATCTGGAGGCTGCTGCTGACCTGGGTCATGAAGACGTCAGACTAGCAGTAAAGGAGGAAGCCATGTTCAGATGACCTGCTTCCATCTCTTCCTGTCTTCTGTGTTCTGGACTCTGAGATGATGAAATTTTGTGTGAAGCTTCAAATTGTCCTCCCCCCAAGTCATACCCCATTCTGTGATTCAAAATAAATCCTTTCCTACCAATCTTCATTAGTTTCTTACTTTCCCAAACATTCTCCCTAAGGGTAATTGTTGCCAACTGGGATTCACTGGTGCCTTTTTTGGGGATATAAACTTGGTTCAAAAGTGTAGGCGAGGCCACTATGTAAGGTGTTGTTGATGAGCCAGACCATTTTCAAACTGTAGGTAAGACATAGTATCCTGGCTATAAATATATATATATATATATATATATATATATATATATATATTCGTTGGTATGAACATAATTATGAAGGCTGTGTGCAAAGGAAACATACCTATGGAAATTTCTTTTACAATAGTAGATACATTTGGTGTGGAGAAACAGGAGAAGGGTGGGGCTAGGCATGTAGCTAGAGGAAGGTTACTTACTGTCAGGAACCGACCTTTCATTTTACTTGGTTTCTGTTTTTGTGTTTGGATTTCATATTTTTTTTTAACAAAGCTATTTGTTTTAAAATAAATGAAATGAGGGAGGCAACAAATTTGAAAATTTAGGAGACCCTATCAGTTACATTTTTGTTGCTCTAAAAAAATGCTTGAAAGACCCAGCTAAGGAAGAAAGGTTATATTTGGCTCACAGCTTGAGGCTACAGTCCACCATGATGAGGAAGGGAACCATTCACACTGAACATTCTATAAAGAAGTACATAAGGATGCTGGTGCTCAGCTCGCCTCGTTGTTGAGAACCCCAGACCAAGTAATGACATAACCCATGTTCAGGATGGGTCATCCCTCTTCTGTTGAACGCTCATAGACACATTCAGTGGTAAGATTTCACAGTGATTCTAAATTCTGCCAAGTAGACAATAGGATTACCCATCACAGGCTACAATTACACAGAGCAGTGATAGAAGACCTTAAGATTTAAGAACTGTTTTCTGCAGTTCTGTGTTCCTAAGACCCTCATAGTCCTAAAGTGTTTTCTCTGTATAAGCTGTTAGTGCTTTCAAATGATTTTCAGTAGTCCTTGAAATATAGGATTTTGAAATGCTGTTAATTTTCTAAATTAGAAATTATGCTCTATAAGTTTAATTTTCCCAAGTTCACACAGCAGGAGCAAGGGCTGCTATCAACTCATCTTCTCATTCTCTTCTCTCCCAGATACTGCTCTTCTACCAATCTGTAGCAGTGAAGGGCATGGTGACATCTATGAAGCTGTCATTAGTGATGCTTCGGTGACCCCTGAACCCAATGCAGTTTCCTTCTCCCATGCAACTACTTCACTTTGCTGTCAGAACTTACTTATCCGGGGGGAAATGGTCTCTCACTTACATGCTTTTCTGTTATATTTGTCTCTCCACTCTAACATACACTTAAGGAGTGAAGGGGGCTTGTCTTCTGGCCCATCGTGGCATTTCCTGGATTTAGAATATGCTTGCTTTGTATTGCAAACACAACTTCCAAATCCTCATGAGAGTCTACATCTGGTTCCTGAGCTTCTGATTGATAATTATAAGATTATTATGAGATCTGATCAGTCAAGGGTTTTATTTTAACTTAAGTTCAAGTTTAGAAACTGAGATTCAGTACCTGCCTCCATTCAAAAGATCTCTCTCATTCAAGTGAGAGGCATCATTACCTCCCCAGTGAAGAAAAGGAAAACATATCAAATTGTTCTTCTTGTAACCAATGTTGACCTAATCCTATTGTCCCCACCTCTTGGATTTGTCTAAGAGGTGTTATCAATTTTAATGAGTATAAGCTAAGCTTTGTCTTTCTTAGCACTGGCTACATTTGCACATTGTGCTACATTTTTTCTACTCTGTTCTCCATATTGAAACACTGATCACCTTTATAAAAGAAAATTTGAACCTAGCTCTACTCTTTCAATTGTCTAAGGTAATAAGGTCTTGGTGTTCTTTGCTTTTGACTCATATCTGCTCCATGGGGACATGGAGTTTATTGCTCTTCTAGGAAACACTTAGAATGCTACTGGTTCTTGCTCAGAAACCCAGGGACACCAATAGACATAACTTTGAGAATTTGGATGGTATAACTTTCAGAGACATAGTTTGGATGTCATCTGCCTCATTATCAAAATGTCACAAGACAAAAGGTAGGAAGTCACTTCAGGAGACCTTTAGTCTATAGTCTAAAGCCTACAGCCTATTTGGCTGCCACTCATGACACACCTCCTTTCTGGCGATGTGTGTTACATTCAGGTTACAAAGTAGTATGAAATGATGACAGAAGTGGCATGATTCTAGGCATGCTATTGAAGAATTGCTGCATTCTCTCTCAGCTATGCCAGAGTCAGGGCTTCTTCATAAAGACCACCATCTCGGCTGCATGCTCTGTGAGAGTCTACAATGTCCCTGGCCCAAATGACACTCAGGCCACTGTCTAAGAATGTTTTTATCCCAAACACTTACTATGTCCATTTACACATGTTGTCTTGAGTGTTTTATTATGTCACTGAAACATTTTCATCAGTGATGTGTATGAATCATTTTATTTAGTAAAATTCTGCTTGTATTACTTGAAGTAAGTTATTAACTCAACTGTGCTTTAATATAGTCCTTGCAAAGAGGAGAGAAAACCAGTTATCTATGTTCTAACCTGTTGGGAAGTCAATATGTGTGAATGATTTTAATATCACATATATGACAGCTTTTTATATCAATTCCATAATAATCTAACAATGACTATTTTTAATAATTGAATTTAAATCTGACCTTAACTCCCAGTTAACATAGACCCCACTAGCTAGGGCTCAGACCTACTACCATTCTTTTTAACCTCATCTTCTCACTGTGGAATGGTTCCTGATATATTCATTCATCCGCCTTGATGAATATAAACTTCCTATTGAGCTCAGCAATTCATTAGAACAATTCACAGGACTCAGGAAAGGGTTCATCTATGATGATGTGTTTGTTGTTATCATTACAACTATACAATAGTCTAATTGGAGAGCAGCTGTGTTAGTCAGCTTTGTGTCATCATGACAAAATTCTCAAGCTATTGTAAGGAGCAAATCATTTTGACTCAACCTTTTGGAGTTTCCAACCCATTCTTACTTGGGTTTGTGTTAAGGCAGCACAGAATGAAGGACTGTATGACAGAAGAATCCCTCAAAGTAAACTGTGAGAGCAAGATAAAAGATTGGGGCACAATATCCCTTTCAAGGACACCATTCCAGGTTTTTCCATTTTTTTTCTCTGTGAGTCCCAAACCCTAAAGGTAACACCAGTTCCCCAAAGAATCTAAGAGCAGGGATCAAGTCTTTAACAATTGGTCCTTTGGGGAGGATCCTTATACAAATTATAGAACATGCAAAAAGGCATGTATAGAGTTAAGGGGGACAGAAATCTTTTAAGTCCTTTCCTTGGAACCCACTCAGTTCCCACAGGTTAATATATTTATGAATCTAGAAGCTGGTGAATGATGTCCCTTCAGGCTTTTGATGTAGGTCAACCATCTTGATGAGGCTGAAATTTCCAACTCTCTAATCATGTTCCAGCTCCTACTCCTGAAGATATATATACTTTTACCATCTTAGAAGTATATACTCAGACACGATCTAAACTTTATACTCTAAAAGAGACTTGCTATGAATAACAAAAATACCCATGACCCCGAAAAGCCCAGGGAATTTGAAGTTTTGTGCCAATGGCCAGGGACAAATATTAAAACAAAAAACCAACTGGAATGAATTTATTCTGTGGAGTATGGTTCTTTTGCCAAAACCATCGAGGTCAAACTATACACATCATTAATGAGAACAACATCACTATGACCATGGTTACTCCCAACAATGACCTTCATTCCTTGAGCAAATCACCTTTAACCTAGTCCTTATTATCCCTTTTCTTTCTAAACACCTGATATCCCTGCAATAAATTCCTCAATGCTAACATTCAGTTGGATACTATATTACATTCCAATGAAGTTTTTAGTTCTATAGCTGTTATATGCTTGTCCTTCATAATTCTTTATAAAATTATTTTTCCTTGTTAATTATTTACCATTTCCTTAAACCCATTCATTCATTGATAAATAAAATAATGACTTTTGTCTTTCTTTCATCTCAAAATCAGTTTCTTCAGAAACACAGCCAATGTGTAAGAAACTGAATGAAGAGGCTCGCTCCCTGAGTCATTCTTAAATCTTCTCTACTTGAATAATTCCTCTCTCTATTTGTCTTGTCTTAGATGAATTTCTGACCCCTCATCATCTGATATCCATACACAAAGGCCAAGAATTCCAACTTGTATTTGATCTTGATGGTCTTAGTGTCTCATTGGTCCTTATGTTATATGGCTCATGTAGTCCTTATGTGGTACTGTGGCTCTGAGTTATGTGCCCTTCTCACAAAACTTGTAGCACCTAGGATTTCTCTAATAGGGAAATCACATAAATACTTACTGACCCTTGAATTTTTCAGCACAAGTGTTTCCATTATATTTTACTTAGCAGAGTGATCATTATAAGGCAGGACAAATTTACTTTCTGATTAAGTTCTTTTTTTTTCTAATTTCAGATTTATCATTGATACATATAGATATGCATTTTAATATTATCTGCCTTTTTATCTTGTTTTAAAAAACTAAGTACATCATGATCTCCATTAACTAAAGTGCATTCCTCAGTATCTCCTTCCATTTTCTACCCACTCATAATGCTGATGCTACTATATTCCTACAATGCCATCGGCTGACTTTCTGTCCCTCCTTGAGTCCTTGTGACCTTAGCTTCACCCCTTTTCCTAACCTGCTTATTTACTCAATACTCCACCCCAATCTGATTCCCTTAGGCCTCTGTTCCAAGTTAAGGTAGCATTATGGGAATACCAAGATGAGATAACATCCACAGGTCATGTTGTGTTGGACCTATTGTGTGCTATCCTTCAGGGAATTCCTAAATCTCAAAT